CCATAACGCTTTCCTTGTGCAAAACGTGCTTATGTTTGTATGTTTATTAAAAAAAAATGGCGCAATAATCATTAATTGTTAGTTTCGTTATTAAATACTACACCAAATACAAAATAAGTAGCACCATTAAATTTCTTGTAAAAAACTGATTCTTATGAAGTTATTTTAAAATTTGTAAGTTCAACTGTTTGATTTCCTATAGCGAACAAAATAAGCTAATAAACAAACTTCCTCTTTTATATATATAGATTACCTTTAAGTTTCTCAATTCAAACAACATAACTTGTTATTTACTAAAAAGAAACTATATTTATTAAATAAACGTTTATCTCGACCAAGAAAGTTGTTTGAAATATTGTTACCTAAACTGAAATTTAACGGTAATGCCATTGTGAAAATTCAGGTTGTAGGACACTTATAAATCTTTAAGTTTTTGCAATGTTTTGTACGATTTGTAGCCTGAGTTGGTAAAATAAAATATCAAAGAAAACACGTTAATGTATATCAATCAAGTTGAAATTTGTTGCATATATAAAATGGAACTTTCTGATCAAGAGTGAAAAAATATTGGAATTCTAAGATGAAAGGAAGAATTTTTAATGATTCTTTTTGAAAATGTCTCACAATAGAAGTTTTAGTTTCATAGCTTAAAAAATGATAGTGTTAAGTCATATTCATTTATTTTCTAAAGCTAAAACTAGGTTCTATATATTACATTTGTATTAGATTTAATGACATTTGACTAAGTATTTACACTGAGAGAAGGAAAAAGATAAACACGTGTCAGTGACATCTCCAGGTATAGAAAGTTAATTTTGCAATGTCCAAGAATTTGAGCTATCAGTGTTTTAGCCATTTTGTTTAAAGGTTGAATAAGAAATGTACCTTTTTCCTACTAGCTGGTAAATGTACTAGTGACCAGTTTCAGTGTGGAGATGGCCGTTGCATTTCCATTTCTGCTAGATGTGACAAAACTTTTGATTGCTCAGATGGATCTGATGAAGCTGAATGTCGTGAGTAATGTGCTTTACACCTGATTACATTTATCATCATTACTTGTTTTTCTAAGATGTCCAAAATTATTAAGAAATGCTAACTATAAGTTAATTCTTTGTAAATGTTGATGCTTATTTTTTTTCAAATAAAACATATGCTGTTTTAAAAGAAGGATGCTTCTAGTACAACATTTATAAGCTCTGTTTAGTCTGTGATGGTGTGAATTCTTGTAGAAAGTGCATTCTGAAATATTCCATGTAAAGAAAGAGCTGTATGTTATTCTGGAGTTGTGATCAACATGAATTCAATCATTTGGTTTAATTGGCAAACTTTGAGAACTTATACACACATAAAGCCCAATTTAATTGGTCATCAAGAAAAGATCTTTAGTTACTCAACTTGTCTGATTTGTTTATAATTAATTAAATCTAATGAGCTCCAAAGCATTGATGATTATTTGAAAGATGAATTGTAAGTTTTGAAGTAATTTTTATGGCATAATAAAAATTAAAGATTTGCAGCAGGGTTTGAAATAATGGTTTGCATTTGGCAAATTACCAGTCAAACCTGGAAAGTTCTGACTAATCTTTAAGAATACTATTTTCTGATACTAGAATGTCAAAGAATTTATTTTATTAAGTCAATAAATGAGATATTATGTACAACTGTCACTAAATTTTAGATAGGTGTCTTGATAATAGACAAAACTTTTAAAGGGCTTATAAGCATCCAGTCTGGACAAACTAAATTACATTGATTAATAGTTTGGTCAATTGCACGATGGTTCAATTGGAGCCACAAAATTATCAAGTTAATACATTTACACCCACAGAAGCTGTTAACTTAAAATAATATTGCAATAACAATGCATTCAGATTTGTGTAAACAGTGCTTAAGCCATCAGAAAGCATGAGAGCATAAATACACTGTGCATGCACGCACGCACGCACGCACACACACACACACACACACACACACACACACACACACACACACACACACACACACACACACACACACACA